GATTTCATCTATTAGCAGACTTATCCCCCCAAAGGAAAAAATTAAAAAGTCCGACTTTCCGGTGTTGCCAACCAGTAACATCATTCCTATTGACAAAAAATATGTTGTGATTTCTCCAACTGATCCCTCCATAACAATTTCGCAAATCAGACCTTTCGCTATTAAAAAAGCACTAGATAGCATTACAACATATATAGACTCTATATCGATTTTACGCGATGGGAGTTTACTTGTCCACGCTGGGGACCCGAGCGCAACCGAAAAGCTCATAAAATCGAAATCATTAGCTAATTTATGTGCTATATCCGCTAAACTGCGTGGCAAACTGAACTCAGTTAAAGGCGCAGTTTATGCCCCATGCTTAAAGCATGTGCCATACGATGAAATTGTTGGCGAAATGAGCAGTCAAGGAATGACTGAAGTCTACAAATTCACCAAATTAAATGACGATGGAAAAACCCGCTCTCTGTAGGAAGAATTATTTTGTCTTTTGACCGCTATCGGCTACCGGCGACGGTTGATGTAACTTGGTACAAATGTAAAGTGGAACTCTAAATTCCAAATCCCATGAGGTGTAAAAACTGCCAACGCCTGGGCCATACGGCTAAAAGATGCACCAGTCCTCCATCCTGTGCTTACTGTGGTCTTCCTCCACGTCCTGAAAGCTATACGCGTAGCTTCTGCTTAAATTGTAACGATTAACACTCTGCGTTAGACAAACAATGCTCACGTTTTATACAAATGCGTGAAATTCTAAAAATCAAAACAGAAAATTACTGTAGCAGGGGTGAAGCGCGACGCAAATACCGGGAAATTAATCCATCTGGAAGCCAAAGAATTAGCAAAAGCAATACCTACGTTGTTGTCGCCTCGCAAATAGTGCCTAATAAGCCTTTAACTCCAACTCCTTCCAACGAAAAACCTGTTCTACCATCAACCAAAAATTACATTGCCAAACCAGTTCCATTGCCAGCCAAAGATAATATTGAAAAAATAAAAACAACAGCAAATATTGAAAAAATTAAAACAACAACACATGTGCCAAAATTTAATAATCTAAATCCCCCAGAATCGACGGAGACGCTGATATGTCCACTTAACCTACTTTCCACTCCATGTCACTACAATTAAATAAAGTTTCTAAACTTCTACAATGGAACCTTAAGGGACTTCTTAATGATGTTGATGAATTCCGTACACTCGTAAGTGATTTCAGTCCAACTTTTATATCGCTTCAAGAGACCCATTGTAGAAGCTCTATTAATCCCATTCAACCCAAATCATATACTGGATACTTCCCGAATGCTGATCAAAATTCATATTCCAAACAAGGAGTGGGTGTTTTTTTAAAATCAAACATACCTCACAAACGCTTAAATTTTAGCTCAAACATTCAAGCCGTAGCGATACAAATAATCTTAAACATAAAATTTACAGTGCTTTCGCTCTATATCTCACCTCGTGGTACTGTTTTAGAAAAGGCCTTCATTCAAAGCAATCTCTGCATTTTAAATGATGGAAAACCCACGCACTTTTCAACTCATCATACTTTTCCACATATTGATTTAACTTGTTGCTCTCCCTCACTTCTTCCTTCGGTTTCCTGGTCTATTTCTGATGATCTGCATAATAGCGATCACTTTCCAATCATAATCGATCTTGAACTTCCATCGTCCTCTGTTAATCCAGCAAAACAGACCAAATTCTTCTTAGATAAAGCGGATTGGATCCATTACTCCAAACAGACCGAGTCATTTCTGAATTCAAAGCCATTCAACGGGAACTGCAACCATGATGCTGCTATTATGTCTAAAGGGATTCGCACGACTACTCATCTTTCTATTCCTCAATCCAACAGCTCTTTTAAACGAGCTAGGGTTCCTTGGTGGAACAACACGCTTTCGTTTTTGAGGAACAATAAAATGGATCTGGGGCACCGCTTTAAGAGATGTCCTGATCATGATCATTTGTTATTATACAAAAAGGCCAATGCTCTATTCAGGAAGGAACTGCGAAAATCAAAGGCACTTAGTTTCGAACTTTTTTCGAGAGGAATTCACAGAAATACATCAATGAAAGTTGTCTGGAACAAAATCAACAGACTTAATGGGACTTCAAACCTGAACAAAATTTCTGCCATGTGCACTCCCAATGGAACTTTAACTGACACACACGATATTTCTAATCACTTTGGACAAATTTGGTGCGAATACTCCTCTGACAGCAACTTTTCCAGTGCTTTCATCGAAAATAAAAAGACTTAAATTTCTCTTTCAAATTGTATTGACAGATGTGCCACATTCCTGGAAAGTTACATATCTACCTTAGAACTTGAAAGTTGTCTCTCCAAATCGAAGGGGAGGAAATCTAGTTTAGACCGCATCTCCTACCAAATGATCAGTGCGCTGTCTAATTCAAGTAAAAAGGAATTACTGGACCTATGTAATACGGTATTTTTGGTTGGCCATATACCCTACATGTGGAAACTGGCTACAGTTGTTTCAATTCCAAAGTCTAAAAATGTCTCCATCGCATAGGATTATCGCCCAACCTCTCTTTTATCTTGCCTCTCAAGGGTATTGGAAAGGATTATGACATCTAGATTATCTTGGTTTCTTGAGTCCAAGAACCTGATAACAAAGCAACAAGTTGGTTTCAAGTGGGGTAGAGGGTGCATCGACGCTCTGTTACATATTGATTATTTTACAAGCAAAGCAATTTCCGAACGAAATCACGTAACAATTCTCTCAATTCATTTGGAAAAAGTATTTGATAGAGTTGGTCTTCATCGTAGAATGTTGGATCAAATCATTCTTGTTGCATCGGCGGTTTAAAGTTAGAATAAACAAACGTCTCTCTGATTCCTTTCCGCTAATGAATGGCATTCCGCAAGGATCTCCTCTCTCTGTCACGCTTTTCCAGATCGCCTTCAACGAAATTAGCAAAATTCTTTGTACCAAGAGTGGAACATTATCTCTACGCGGACGATGTATACATTTTTACAAAAGAAAAAGATAGCGTGAAGGCAATCAACATCCTCGAATCTATTGGACGAGAGATCTCCGCATGGGCAAACTCGTCAGGGCTAAAATTCCCATACAAAAATCTAAAAAAATGCACATTTGTCGAAAGCAGATTTGCGATGCAGGAAATCTACTGATGCATATTAATGACTTACCAGTACTAAACGTGCAGACGCTGCATATTCTCGGGCTCACTTTTTCCAACAAATATCGTTGGAAAGCACACTGTCTTCGGTTAAAAAATTCTATTTTAACAAGGGTGAATTTCATACAGTACGTTGCTTGGAGAAGCCATGCGCATATTAACACTATTGCTTATCTTACCAAAATGCTTGTGTTAAGCAAGACTGACTACGCTTTGATAATTTAAGGCAATAGCTGCAAATCTAATATCAACGTCCTTAACCGGTTTATCACCAAGCCGTCAGATCAAGTTGTTATGCTTTTCGGACGACGCCCATAAATAATATTATAATTGAAATTGGTCTCCCAACTTTAGAAAATAGACTGTATGAGTTAAAAGCTAAAATCTAAGCTTCTTAATTCAAACAAATCCATTCTCGGTGATGACGTAAGAAAGATTATTATTGCGAAGAAAATTCCAAAGTCACCATCTGCAATTGACCATTGTTTGTGCATCGCAAAGGAATTGAACATTCCCTTAAAAAGTTCCCGCTCTTTTGGTGTTAAACCTCCATGGATTTTGAAAGACTGCTCTTTTGACATCTCACTGTCTATGCACAAGAAAGAAGATACTCCAAATTACGTCTTCAGGAATCTAATAGCTGAGAAAACCCAAGTATTGGACAATACTGGTTGGAATCTTTTGTACACAGACGGCTCAAAATCTTCTGGTCTGCCTACTGCTTGCGCGGTGGTAAATGCTACAGGACGGGTTCTTCTCAAACACATATTTCACGAAAGCACTTCAACTTTCATAACCGAAGCCAGAGCTATCCTTCACGCTGCCAACCTTGCCCATAAAAACAAACTCAAAACCGTCATTGTTACTGACAGTTTGTCTGTATTACTAGCTACCCGGAACCCTTCGACTTCGAGATGGAGCACCATCAACAAATTAAGGAATATAATTACTACACCCGACGGAAAAATTAAAATGTTATGGGTACCAAGTCACATCGGTTTACTGGGAAATGAGCAGGCTGATCGAGCGGCAAAGTATGCTGCTTCTGCTCCTCTAATTATGGATGATGTCATGGAAAAGTTGGATCTTCAAAGATACATTGGAAGAAAAGTTAAAGAGAAAATTGCAGAAGGAAATTTACAATACCATCATCAACACTACTCTTGCATTAACCCTCAATTAACTCCACCTCTATATCCAACAAATGTTGAGAAAACCAAGATCCAAACATTTTCGAGAATTCGCCTTGGTCATACAATTGCAACTCACCAATGGATCCTGAAGAAGTCTTCTCCCCCAATCTGCTGTTGTGGACAAACTCTTACTATAAAGCACATTCTCTGCGACTGCCTCAACTTTTCCTTGGCTAGAAGTATTGCATTTGGAACGATTAACCCTTTGTACATTCTACAATCAACTTCAGAACAGAATATCAATTCAATATTTTACTTTATTAAAACTACTAAGCTTATTATCTAATATCCATTTTTTTAAATTAGAGCCGATAGCCTGTGTTGCTAGTGCTCAATGTCTCTTTTTTTAGTCTAAGAATTCAATTCATTAGTCTAAAATTAAAATAATAATAATAATAATAACAATTCTGCACTGCAAAAAGAGACGAATAATGAATCTGCCACAATTTTTTATGCTGACCCTTTTGTTAAAAAAATTTATATAAAAGAAATTGCTGATCTTTTTAGTGGTTTGCTGATTGTTTGCGATTCTTTTCCTTGGTCGCTTTTGCTCTTCTATCAAAACACCGTATAAATACATGCCGTAACCGTCTAATTTATTTCGCGAATGCTCTGGCCGCAAAGTAAACAAAATCTCACCCAGGTCTTTAAATCGACCTGATTCATTTAGATTCGATTGATCAAAGGGCGAATCCAACCGTCTTTTCTCCACTGCCATACAAGTGGCAAAAAGATGAAGGAATCTGGGAACTGGAGAACTAGCATTCCGCACTAAATGAGCAGCTTTATCATATTCACGTACATCAAAGTAACTTTTAGTCAGAAAATAATTATCGTATTCTTTCGGTGCTATGCCTTCCAGCATTTTAATACCGAAATTATCTTTTTCATCCTCTCCGTCAATAACCACGTCAGCAAGAATTAACCGCAAGGCCGTGGCAAATTTCAGCTAACCATTTGACGCTGTACACTAAACCACGTTTCTGACATTCCACTATACCCTGTCTTAACTCTTTTTTAGCGTCGAGTACGTTAAAGAAGTTATCCTCCATTATTTAACAAATAAAAATAATTAACACATAATTATAAAGAGCGAGTTATTAAGCGCTGCTTACTCGAAAACCGAACTGTCATGTTGATCACCCCATATTAAAATTTCCGCTCTACTTCTAATCGTTGTTTATAAATTGAATAAATCGATTATATTTAGCAAGGCCTACATATAGAATGAGTTAAACATTTTATGTAAAAATATTAGATGTTTAGATGTCAGCTTGTGAAAGTCGATAACCCTTAACATAGAGTGTTAAAAAGCATTCAGTATCTTGCGCTTGCAAGGCATTTCTCCTTTCCTTTTCTATTGTCATAGTGTCATAAAATCGCCCAAAATGATACGCTGGGAAGGTAACAAAAAAAAAAAAAAAAAATCTTACAACTAAAATAAAAATTTGCTTAAAAGGATTACATAAAATTAATTTTTAGATACGTTCGAGCTTGTGAAAATATAAAAGCCGGCGAACCAATATTAAATGAAAGCCCTATACGGATAATTGCTTGCCCTGGTGATAAGAGATGCAGAAATTGCTTTCGGTTGACTCAAAGTTATTGTAGGTAAGTAAAATACAATTTTCATTTATTGTATTAAAGATAACGAAAGACTTACTAACTTTAGTAAATGTTCAATAACTCCATTATGCTCCAATTGCCGTAGTCATCATTTATATGATTGTAACACATTTTCGCTTATGTCTAAAGAAGTGCAGTTCGAAAATTTGCGTAAAAATTCAGAATGTTACTTCGAAAAAATATGCCGATGTCAAGCATCCAAAGTAGTATTAAAAAGTGCCAGCAAAACAAAACGGAACTAAAGAGATGCCGCCTCGATTTGCGTTTTAAGCAAAAAGTTTTCATCGTTTTGATTATTTACACCGATAATTATTCAGGTCTGAAACAGGAGATTGCACCAATATTAAGAAAGTCCGGGTAAGTGATAAAACTTAATTTGTTCCTGATTTTAAAATGGTTACTTTCAAAATTATTCCCAGCGCTATGATAGATACGAATAACTCGTTTGAAGAGTATGGTCTTATAGAAGCAACCGTCAGTAAGGAGCATTTAGTTTCATCGAAAAATATTGAGGAGTTAGCTACAGAAAATGCCATCGAATGTGGAGCAGAAGAAGTTGAAGTATCTGATGCCGCTGCAGGGCTTGTTAAAGTAAGGCGTTTAGAAGCGAAATCTTCGAATGCTGAGAATACTGAACTTCCATGTTTCTATTAGTTTATTTGCAGACCTGAAGAGTTGCTTTCCTTGCGGAAATCGATTGAAACAAAAAACTATATCATCGAAAATATGGAACACATCTATACGCCCGTGGTACATTCAATTGTCCATATTTTTTTGCTTAATGTTTATTCATTTGTTATATTTAGAAATATGTGGAGTTGCCTTCAGAGGAGCACGCGGGCTATGAAAAGTTTCTTGCCAAGCTTCACCAGATTTCCGGTATAGAAGAGATTTATGACAATTTGTTGGATACAAGAGATTAATAAATTTAACATAAAAAACTAATATGAAAGAAAACAATTATATTATTTTCATTTCATTTTCATATTTGCAACATCGCTAAGATATCTGCTTTAATATAGCTTAATCCTTACAAGATGGTTCGATTAAGGCTAATATTGATGTTGATCGGCAGAAAACTTGGCTTTATTCTCATTTTCATTTAGGCCGTATGCATTATAAAAACACTCATCAGAGTTATCCTTTCATCTGAAATTCACTGATTAATGATATTAGAGAAAAAAGTCTTAAGAGTCTTCATAGTGTTTCACTTTATTTCGCTTATTTTATATACAGTTTTTCTATAAAAAAAAAAATAATAAAAAAACAAAAAAACTTAATTTATGTTTACATATAAACATCGGCGCAGGCCGTGTAAATGAGTAAATTCAATAAAAAATATATTTGCACTATTTCGTCAATTTTAAAAAACTGCTGTGATCTTGTATCGACTTGTTTAAAATGGTGGGTATCTAAGATTCAATCTGAAACTGTTTTTCTTTTATTTTTCCTTTTTTTTTCTTTCAATTGAAATTTAAAAACTGAAATTATAATGAGAGAAATTTAAAAATAATAGATGATAAGTCGTAGAGCAGATTGGAATCTTAAAATTTAATATTTATTTGTAATATCGCAACTTAAAAAAAATTTTATTCATAGTTTGTCTTTCGTGTGTTATGTTATAACGTTGTAAATATTTCATAACTTTGCGTATATGTACAATACATTTTAACGAACAAATATATATATATATATATATATATAGATGTACGTACTTAGTATATATGATGTATAAAAATTTGTAGATTTCTTTAAATATTTATACTCTTTTGCTGTGACAATCAAAAGAGTAGCATGACACCGAAACTAGTTAGACTAGACGTAGATGAATCGCCACATCGTGCGCCAGGCGTTTGAAAGTTTGAGAAGAGACAAAATTTCCAATGAACGCTCTTGCAACAAGCTAATAAAGCTAATAAAGCACAGAGTCACTTATAAATGGTTGAGTGCCCAACTAACAACTTAAATGTTAACGCCAATCTTAAATGCCGAACTTAAGATTCAACTCTGTGAAATTATCTAACGGACCAAATTATCTAAGAAAAATTAGCAAAAGCCGTCGGCAAAACAAAGGAAAACTTTGAGATATTTAATAACTAATGTTTCTTTATTCTTTTTTATAAATGTATGTTTTCATATAAAATTTCTTAATTTTTGTGATGATGCCATGAAGCGAATGAGGGATCATCAAACTGAAATGGATGGATTTTATTATAGAAGAAAAGAAGCGTCAGCTGCAAAAAGATCCCGTTACAGATATTCGAAAACTGAAATCTCATCGACTGAATATATAAATAAATATAACAATAATATATAAATAAATATATAAAAACTTAAATGTTTTTTTTTAGTATTTAATTAGTTATGGTTCCCGTGTGTACTCAAGTGATTGTTCGAATCAAAAACTCTTTTGTATGGAATTTGTATTTTCTCAATTATATAGAATTTGTATACGGAAATTATTGAGTACATTAATCTCGCATCGATGAGGCTTTTTTATAAAGACCTGTTGAATGATTGAGAACGAATATACGCTTATTCTCAAAACGGCACAATACATGCAAGTGTTTTGGAAAATACGCGAACTAAACTTATTTAATTTTATGAGTTAGCCTAAAAATAGATCGCTATAATTTTTATTATCAAATTAAACTGCTAGGCCACTTGCGTGGCAAAGCAGTAGTTAAATTCTCTGTTAAAAAGGCAAAGCAGTAGTTAAATTCTCTGTTAAAAAGGCAAGGCCGTTGCTAAATCCTTTGCTAATTGCAGAGCCGTCGTTAAATTCTTTATTAATTGCAAATCAATTTATGTTCTCTTCTTGTAACTTTTTATACTTTTTCCTAAAATCTTTGAAATTTTTGACTTTTACTGGTAAGACCCCTATGCATTTTGCAATGCCGACGGCAATTCGCATTTTGCAATGAATTTTAACAGATTACGCGAGACATGAAGCTCTTTCAATAGATTACGTGAGACATAAAGCTGGCGGCTTTGCAAATTAAACGATCTGGCAATTTAAGTTGTTAGTTGGGCACTCAACCATTTTTGGTAATTTTTTTATTTATTATAAGCGACTCTGTGCTTTAACTAGTATTTAATGCTGGAAGTTTATTGTATTTATTGTATTGTATTTATTGTATTTATTGTATTATTGGACTTTTAACAGACTGAACGGCGTTACCATTTAAGTTGCTAAGTTGCCTTTCAACATTTAGCGAGGGCGTTCTTTAATTTGATAATAAAAAATTATGCCGGTCTAGGCTAACTTGTAAAATAAAATAAATTAAGAAATTTTATAATCGCGAATTTTATCTATTGCTATTCATGTGGATAACCTTTTTCAAACATAGAAGTGTGCCTAAAGAATTTTCAAATTCAACTGATACGAACTTAATTCAGCTGTTAATCTGAAAAAGACTTTGTAGAATCGAACGGCAGTTTACGTTACAATTTAATATTTTGTTTACTAGCTTGTATCTAAAGGAATACCAAATTTTGTAGCGTGGATTTTATTTTTTTGGTTGCGAGGGATCAAACGAATATGTTGTATTTTTTTTATATCGATTTCTCGGAAGCAATTGTAAATACACCGCGCTAAATGATAGCTTTACCATTATTACGGTTCAGACAATTTCTCTTTTAGAGTTGCACTTGGAATAAAACTGCGGCAAAGAATTATAAACAGCTGTTAGCAAATGTATTTACAACTACTTTGTATTGGGCCTCCCAACAGGTTCAACTCCTTATATATATATATATATATATATATATAATTATATATATATGCAAAGTGTGCTGGTATTACCGGCCGTGCTGCTGATGCAGTCCTTGACCCTTCTAAAGGTTTACGATGGTCATGTCCTGACTGTAGAAAGCGGGATATTGATTTCTACAAGCTCTTCACAGAGACGAGAAATTGTTTCTCAGATTTGAGCAAAAATCTCGGCTCTTTGTGGGAGAAGTTTGAATTAATCAAGACTAGGTTTGATGAATGTCGGTATATTGCGCAGTCATCTTCCTCTCCAGCTAACATAGTCTCAACGCGTAGCGTAGCGTGTGGTTCGTCACCTCCTAAGTCCGTTTCGTTGGTGCAAGTTAGCGATTCCCTAAAGGCTACAAATAATGTTAGTGTTTCTGCTACGGCTGAGTCGGTTGGTAACATAGATGTTACAAATAGTCCGAGAAGTCCTTCTGGCTTGAGCTATGCTGAAGTGGCAAGGGTATCTCCTCCCATAGATGTCACTCAATCTTCTCAGGCGTCATTGCCCAAAACTAATAAGGGTAATAGTAAATCGTCCTCTCCTCCTCGCTGTTCGGGTGTAAATGCTGGTCGCCAAACTGAGCAAGCAGCTCGTGCAAGTGTGGTTACACCCTCTATATTTTCCCCAACTCATAACTCCCCATCCGTTAACCCTGCTGCTCCCAGTACTGATGACATATGCTTGAAGGCAGTTCCTCCTAGAAAGGCCATATTTGTGTCAAGACTGGCACCAGATACATCTGTTGAAAACATAAGGGGTTATCTGGCTGCGAAAGCCCCTTCTGTCAATTTAAAGCGAGTTAGTATTTTCAAACTGGGTCCTTCTCAAGCTAGAGCTATCTCATCTTTTAAAATTCTAGTTCCGACCGAAAATATGGATTTGATTTTAAATAAAACTTTGTGGCCGGTTGGATCATTAATTAAGGAATTTATCCCTCGGGACCGACCCCGTAATGCTAATGCATTAGCTCTTTCCCCTTCAAAAAACTAAATACTTCTTCAGCCTCATTTTCTCTCATTTATCAAAATGTTAGGGGCCTAAACTCAAAAATTCGTTCTACCTTCCTAAACTCAGTGAGTACGGAGTTTTCCTGTCTGGTCTTCACTGAAACATGGCTGAAGCCAGTTCTACATTCGTCGGAACTTTTCCATAATTCGTTTCAAGTTTTCAGAAACGATCGTTTGTATCGTAATGGTGGTGGTGTTTTAATTGCTATTTCTACGGCACTCCCCACCTATTTGTTTGAATTTCCAACTACTCCCGATGTTGAATTTATCGCCATTCGAGTGAAATTTCCTAACAAACACTTATATGTGACCTGCTCCTATATTCTCCCAAATTCGGATATCTCTGTATATAAGAAACAGGCCGCCCTCATTTGTGAAGTGGCCAAGCAATTTAAATCTACCGATATAGTCCTTGCGTTGGGTGACTTCAACTTGCCTCAAGTCAATTGGTTTTACAGTGATAGTTCTGGCTGTTTGATTCCTTCCTCAACATCTGATAAAGCCGTTGTGTTCTTCAATGAATTATTTGATAATAATTTAGTTCAATACAATGGTACCCCTAATTGTAATGGGAGATTTCTTGATCTCTGCTTTGCAAATTTTCCTGAGGTTTGCGTTAATCGTTGTCTTCCGTTTAGTTTACCTGAGGATCCATATCATCCAGTATTGGGTGTTTCCTTTCATTACAAGTCTGTTGGTTCGTTGAACCTCTTTAACATTCCAAATTCAAATTTTTCATATCAACGTTATGATTTCCATAAAATCAATGTTTCCATACTAAAATCTCATCTTTCTCATTTTGTGCTCGATTTCTCAGAGGGAAGCATTGATAGCTTACTGTCGTCGTTCTACAATGTATTAAATCAAGCTATTTCTGCATCCGTTCCGATCAAGCAGTCCCGTCCTCGAAGTAAGGATCCCCCGTGGTTTAATAAGACAATTAAATACTACAAGAATAGGAAAAACAAGTTGTTCAAAAAATTTTCGAAAAGTGGTTCTTCTTTCGACTATTTCGCTTACTCTGTTGCAAGGCATAAATTTAATTCCCTCAACCGCCAATACTACTGCAGATACCTTCAGTTTGTTAAATCCTCCTTGTTTGCTAACCCTAAATACTTTTTTAAGTTCGTTAATTCCAAAAGAAAAATCTCCATAAACCCGTCGTTTGTGTCTTTTAATGGCTCCGAGTCCTCGGATGATTTTGAATCCTCAAATCTCTTTGCGGAATACTTCCGACAGAACTTTTCAACTGCCAATTTTGATTTATCGGAAAATTATCCATATTCGATTTCTAATTCGGTTTCAATTCCTAACTTTGTTATATCGGAAAATGACGTTTTTGAAGGATTGAACTCTCTGAAATATAATTGTTCGCCTGGACCCGATGGCATCCCCTCATGTGTACTTATATCTTGTGCTGGCGAGCTTTGTGATGTTATCTCAAAGATTTTTAATAAGTCTTTGAATTTAGGTGTTTTCCCTTTGTGTTGGAAGACTTCTTTCCTTATTCCTATTCACAAAAGTGGTAGTAGGCAACTTGTAGAGAACTACAGAGGCATCGCCAAGTTGAGTGTCTTACCTAAACTGTTCGAGCGAATTGTGGCTCAGCATATAGCCTTTTCCATGAAATTGTATATTTCTCCTTTCCAGCATGGTTTTCGAAAGGGAAGATCTACGGTGACCAATCTGTTGGAGTTTACTTCTCATGTTTTCAAGGCTTTTTCTAGTGGTTCTCGCACTGATGTCATTTACACTGACTTTAGCAAGGCGTTTGATATGGTTAATCACAGACTTCTTAGATTTAAAATCCAGACCTCTGGCTTTCCTCTCTTCTTAGTTGAATGGTTAAGCTCTTATCTGTATGGTAGATCATTCAGGGTTTTGTTTAACCTCATTACCTCGGATGAATTTCCCGTGACGTCTGGCGTACCTCAAGGTAGCCACTTGGGACCTATTTTATTTAATCTTTACATCAATGATTTGCCCTCCGTGATTAAATTCAGTAAGATTTTAATGTATGCTGATGATGTGAAACTGTTTTCTTCTTTTTCCGTAGAATCGCAATCACATCATCTTCAAAGTGATTTGAACAATTTGGTTGCATGGTGCTCCCTCAATCTTCTGAAGCTAAATCTAAATAAATGTAAGAAGCTTTCTTTCTTAAGAAGGAAGTCGTTTAGTACCCAATACTTCGTTACGTTTCAATTTGCATATTGAGTCCTCGTTAAGCAAAGCTAGGTCCGCTCTTGGTTTTATAAAGAGGTGGTCCAAAGAGCTTGATGATCCTTATATTACTAAAAGGCTTTACACGTGTTTGGTTAGACCTATTCTTGAGTATGCCTCTGTTGTGTGGTCTCCTTCATATAGATGCTACGTTGGTTCAATTGAATCTATACAAAAGCAATTCTTGCTGTTTGCACTTAGGAATTTGGGTTGGGACCCGATTTCCCCTCTTCCACCCTATGAAAATAGGTTGCTTCTGTTATCCTTACCGTCACTCGAGAAACGTAGATTTGTTCTTGGGGTTTCCCTAACCGCTTCTCTAGGTACTTTATGTTGATAAAGCTTAGTCAATGCAAATATAACTTTGAACTGTTTAACCCGCTCAGAGTTGTTTGCAAGAACCTAAATGATGTCTATCATCTATTCTCATTAACGGACTCTTTAAAGTCTATTAAAGCAATATTGCTCAACAAGCGCGATTTACCTATGTCGTACTTAAACTGATTTAACCTTAGATTTTGTCATTATGAGTCGAAAATTAATTTGTTGTTAACAATTATCGGTTGCCAAGCTTATGCATGTTTGCGATGGCTTAGGGGTTCACTTGCAATTTGGTCCTGTATCGGTTGTGGGCGTGGCTCTATTATACTAAGTTTTATTATTAAATAATTTTAAGATTTACATAAGAGTCAATTGAACTCGACTGCCATTTTGTTTTAGTTGAGTTTCTTGTATAAGTGGAAAATAAATAAATAAAAAAATATATTTATACATTTTTTACTACTAATCCCAGCGTGTCTTTTATTATTTAAAAAAAGATAACAGTTGAAAACTTGTTACCGAAGGCATTTAACTAATTACCGAACTTATTTTTTAAAAGATAATTGCCACAGTTGAGGCTTATATTGAAAGTTAGACAACTTTTTTTAGTAGCGCTCGTTATGCTTACTCGGGTAAAACAGTGCCATTACTTTAGTTCCGTTCTTCTTACAGTAATTTTTCTAAGCACTTGTATATATCTATTTATTTATCTTTAGGAAACATTGACAAAAATGCCTAAATATAAATAAATCAATTAGTTTTTGTATAAAACATGTTGTATATAAAAGTCGACATGAAAAAGTTATTCTCAGCATGCTGTTATCTTACCTCGCGCGAAGTGTTGTATTGTACCATGAGTTGTATTTGTACCATGTTTAGCAATAACTGCTAAGCCGCCAAAAAAATTCTGCAGCATTCTATTCATTTGTTTGCGAGCGTTGAAAAATTTGGTGCGATACATAAAATAACTTTCCATTTTTTTCAATTAGAAATTGTCTTTTTCCAAGAAAAGAAATGCCAAAAATAAAAGGAGCAACAAAAAAAATAAAAACCGACAAAGAAAACAACAGCACTATTACTAATAATTTAAAAAGCACTGTGTATGAAAATGAGTTAAGTGAAAACACGGCGACAAATAATGAAAATGTAAACGAAGTCATTGAGAATGGTGTTGTTGATGCCGAAAAGAGTGTAAATCAAGGCAAGGGACGCGGCAGAAAAAATGATAGTACAGCTGCGAATAAATCGAATAAAGGAACCGTATCAAAGGTAAGAGGTAAAGCGAAGACTGCGGCACCAGCAAAAGCAAAAGCTGATGTTGTCCACGAAGATATAATGGAAGCCGACGGTGAGCCTGCATCATTAACAAGAGCGGATGATAGCAAGTTTAAAAAATTGCCAAATTCAAAAAAAATAAAAGCTAAAAATGAAGTCTCTACAATTAGTGCAAATTCAACTGAAATTGTGAAAGGCGACACAGGTGTTAAAGCCGTTCAATTAAAGGTCAACAAACTAAATAAAGGAGGCGTGGAAAAAATTTCGAAATTTAATTTGAATATAGAGGAAACCGCAGACGTCAACGGCGGCGACGATGTTGAACAGACCACCGGAGAAATTTATGAAAAGGCAAATAAAAAGGGTTCTCGCAAGCGGAAACAAGCTTCCCAAGTCGAAGAAGAAGTACAGCTGGAAGACACCGTCGAAAAACCTGCAACTGTCAAAGGTAAAATGCTTTAATATGTATAAAGTTTTCTTAAACCGTAGTTTCTCTTCTCCTTATTCACAAACGTCTTGCAGTCTCCAGATCTAAAAAAGCTGCAATCTCGGTTCTTGTTAATCATGACATTCCAGAAAGCCAGCCTCCGAAAAAAACGAAACGAAGCTCGAAGATAATTCTTGAAGAAAATAAAACTTCTGAGAGCACACAGGGAATTGCAGACCAGCAGAGAGAAACAGCGGAAAAACCTACTACTACCAAGCGTTCAAGAAAACCCAGCGTTCTTGAAAACACGGCAAACGAAGAAGAACGTGAGAACGTTACCAAAAGTAAGAATTTTTTATTCACTTTTATTCTCCACCTTCACCATGGCAATATCAAATTTCTCAGTCTGTTTGCAATACCTATTAAATATGCATTTATTCATATATGTACATAGAGAGCTGAAGATTTCACTTCTGGAAAGGGACTTAGCTGGTCCACTATGGTAAGACGTTCAAGACGTCTTTTGATATATTTTAGCTGGCTTGCTTCTTATGCCTATACTAAAGCGTAATCCTTTTTCTCCTTCTTTTAAATAAAAGAAAATAGAAGTGAGTAGAATATGGAATTTAAGAACTATGTGTGCAAATAATAATAACAAGCAAAGTGATTACGTGCAAAATGCTGACCACCTTAAAACAATCAATATCTAAAATTTGTCTTTTTTATAAGGGATGTATGTAACTTTTGAATTATAGTTGGTGTGACAAAAAATAAGAAGTCCCTATATATATATTTCTTATAATTATTTATTGGTACCGAAGAGGGAAGATGTTTTAACTGATTGGCATAAAATTAACAAATTTTTTAATATAGAACGTATTCAAAGTCCACTTTGTTCTCACGCAATTGTTTTAAACTCTAAAGGACTATTCCTTCACCCCTTGCTTTCTTAATTACTGCTTTTGAGAATGCCACATGGATTAGCAATAAAAAAGAAGAGTAATTTTTCAATATTTTCACTTTATTAGAAAAATATAAAAAGGCCATAAGTGAAGAAAAGATTTCGATTGATCCTAGAAAGCAAAAAACGTCTCGTAAGAAGACCATCGACAAGACAGAAGATATTCCAAAAGCTTCTCAACATGAAGTTGCCGAAGAGAAAAAAGGTAATTATGAGCAATGTTTGAAATAAAGTGCGGTTTTAATCGAATTGCGAAATAGTTCAATCGTTCCTTCAGATTAATCAATCGAATATCTAATGTATATAATTAGTTAAGTTTGTGCGGATCACTCAGAACGGCTTGAGACACACCCACCTTTATGTTTCGATCCAGAATGGGATTCTAGACCGGTCGGTCTGGCTGATGTCTATCATAAGACGTGCGTTCAACCTACAGGTCGCAATTTTCGAGACATTTTAACGTGTTTTGACCCAAAAACAAATGCAATCGAAAATGGACTGAACCGGAATATTTTAAAAGCCACATTCCATAGAAAGCCTAGTTTTTAGAAGAGGGGTTTTTAATAGTCGGCTGTGGTCCGCTATAGTGTTTTTACTCGTTTACCTTAATTTTTTAATTCTAAGCCTACCTCTATCTCAATTAGATTCTTTCGATATTGGGCTGACTATAAAATATATTAAGTCATTTCTAAGATGCCTTATCTCACTTATATACGGGAATACATACATAATTTCAGGGAAATATATAGAAAAAACTTATGAACGTATATCCTAGTATCGTATATCCTAATATCGTTCTTACTTAAATGCCATATTTTTAGAATTAAAGTTTATTATACCCCCCGTCGAAGGCAAGGAATGAAAAAAGTAAGGGGCTTTTAGAGACAAATAAAGCATTTATGTTATATGTTTGATCAATATAAAATTCTGAATTGATCTCGCCCTCTCTGTCCCTTTGTCTGTGCGAGCCTGTGTTCCCTCGCTGGCAAGAAATAATATACCAGCATCTAGTTTTGCAAAAGCATTGAAAATTTCCACGCGATGGCTACTATTGAAAATACACCAATTCGGTGAAAGAACGCTGAAAGCACATCTGCGTTCAAAAGCAAAATAAAATTGGTATTTTTTTATTGACGTACAAGAGATAAGCGACAATGATGAAAACCTCAACGTACATTTTATCCTGCAGATATAATAGTCGGCCATGCCCACTCTTTTTGAAAATAAGGCTACTACACGTTGTTGGTACAAGGCTATGTTAAGTTTGTCAGGATGTATACAATAAGCAGAAAGACTTCAGATAGTCTATTCGTCTGTCAGTTATCTTCTGTTTAACGTGCAGAACGCCATTTTTAAGATATGTGGCCGTTTTCGATATAACGCCTTATTTTGAAAAGTCTATGGAAAACCGTAGGATGAATTTAATTTTTTTCAATTTTTTTATGACTCGCAAGACTAAAGGGGCTGGACGTAAATGCTCGCTAACATTCGACTATAATTCCCTTAAATTAATCAATTTTTACTTATTCGTGATCTGAAATTCATTTGCAAATGTCTCTTTTATATAAAATTTAATTTCAGTAGAAGAGGCCGCGCCAGGCAAAAAAGGAACAGCGGGTATTCGTAGTCGTAAACGTGCCGCGCCGTCAGATAAGAAAGTCTTATCCGTTGCTGAAGAAGATTTCGATGGGGATAGCAATTTGAATGAGGATGAACCAAATGGCTCTAAACGTAAGTCGGGTTTGACGTGCGGCGCGCAACTGAAAAAACTGTTAATTTCGTGTTTTGCAGCCAACAAGAAAAAAAAGACGATCACCTCTACTATAGCACCTCTAAATAGCACTTCCACAACTTATAATAAAGGTGATTTCGAATTACCACGGTTGGATGCAAAGGAAGAAAGCATTGCTTGCAGATATAATTTGAAAATTTCAAGTTGGAATGTGTCTGGTGTAAGAGCTTGGTTGAAAAAAGATGGCTTAACATTTTTAAAATACGAGGAACCGGATATATTTTGTATGCAAGAAATTAAATGCACTATTGATCAATTGCCAGAAGAGTTGGAACGCATCCCCGGTTACCATCCTTATTGGTTATGTAAACCGGGTGGTTATGCCGGTGTAGCCATTTATTCAAAAATTATGCCCATCAATGTGGAATATGGCATTGGTGACGACGAATTTGATGGTAACGGTCGCGTCATTACTGCCGAATATGAAAAATTCTTTCTAATGAATGTCTATGTGCCGAATTCGGGTAGAAAATTGGTTAATTTAGAGGCTCGCATGAAATGGGAGAAATTATTTCGGGCTTTCGTGCAACAGCACGATGATCGAAAGCCAATTATCATATGCGGTGATATGAACGTGTCACATGCAGAAATCGATTTAGCTAACCCAAAAACCAATACACGCAATGCCGGTTTCACTAAAGAAGAACGCGAGAAAATGACTGAGCTCTTAGCTTTAGGCTATATAGACACCTTCAGACATTTCTATCCAGAACGTAAGGGCGCTTATACATTTTGGACTTATATGGGTGGTGCCAGGGCACGCAACGTTGGTTGGCGTTTAGATTACTTCCTTGTATCGCAGCGTTTTTTAAAAAAAGTGGTAGACAATTGTATTCGCTCTCAGTGTATGGGGAGTGATCACTGCCCTATTACATTGTTCTTGAAATTGTAAGCTGATCAAATAGAAATAAGAATTTCAAAATAAGCTCACTTTCGATGTCTATCACCACATTATCAAACATTTCTTCAACAAAATCTAATTAACAAAAATGGAAAAATCTATCTGTTGTCAGTAAAAGCTTCAGATAAATATGTAAGATTCTTCTGATTAATGTTAAATTTTCTTAATATTTATACTTTATTAAAAAAACAACTTACATTTTCTTTTTTTTTTACTTTGAATGAAGTTTTTATTTTCACTTTAAATAAAGGTGAAATTCTTTTTGGTTATTTTAAATAACTGGCTTTTTTTGTTCACAGTTTTTTATGATTGTGGGTTTTTTACATTTGCCCAAATTTATGGACATGCAGATGAACCCACACTAAGGTTCGAGCTTTAATTGAATAACATAACGGTTGCAGCAAACACAATCACCATTATTAGATTTAATAAATTTGGCCTAATCCAGTTCACGTAGTTATCGCTACGTCCCTGGTAAAATATCAGAAAGATCCAAGAAGCGGCGCCAACTCTGTAAAGTTGAAGGTGAAGTATATTTGCGGCGTTTTTTAACTCTTGTTAAACCAAACGAAGTAGCGCTGCCATTAGGTTGCAATAAAGTTTCATGCCAAGAAATTGCATTACCTTTCCACCAGCTAGTGGCACTTAAAATGGCATTTAGGCCAAACATTCTTAATGTCTTAATCAAGCTAAAAAATAGTTTAGTGTCACGAAGCAACTTCAGCTGTCGTTTTCCAATTTCCAATTACATGCTTGCTATACTATACAATAAGGTTTTCGCAAATTTTATTGGAATTTCCAAGAAGTGGACAAAATTTATTTTATTTAATAAAGTATGTTTGGATATCAAACAACAAGCAATTCTATCATAACATTCGTGGTGGTCCATCCTATTTTCTTCGTTTCAATATAATGACGTTAATTAGTTAAGACATGTAAACTGCTTTGCGAAAATCCCTAGACAAAAAATTTGAAAAATTGTCTTATTCGACATTTTTTAAGAGATCACGCATTTTCTAAAATATGGTAGGTGCGTCGGCAAACGAATTTTTGAATGGGGAGAACAAATAATTCTGATCAATCCGCCTGAAGGCGAGGAATCTCGACTAGCAAGTCAATGGTCGTGGGTTCGAATCTCAAGTGCGGTAGAGTTTTTAATAAAAGCCGATAGCCTTAGATGCTAGTGCTTTTAAGAGTTTAGTCTAAGAATTTATTTCTCTGGCGAAATTAATAATAATAACAATAATTCTGATCAGCAGGAAATCCGGACAACAGTTTAAAGTTGAAAAAAAGTCAAATCCACCTACAGGTCCGTCTAAAAGTCGTAGAAATTTGAGAAGGTAAACATTAGTTACTTAAGTTTATTCTAATCACCACCATAAATGTTTATGTAAATATGTGTGTTCTTTCCATGTGAATTTGCTGTAGTAATGCAATCGAGGTATTGTTTACTTGTTTAAAGCTATAATGGAAGAAATTGGAGAAATATGTTTTGAACATACATATTTAGGAGTAAAGTGCCTTGGCGTTAGAATTAAAAAAAGAAATTCGGAAGCGGAGTTAGCCAAAAATTATTGTAGAGAAGATTATCAAAGCGCAACAAACTTGATAGCTTTCACTTTTTCAAACTAAACAAATTTTTTCTTAGAATATTTTTGGGCTGAAAATATTACCTAAGTGAACTTAAATCTAAGACAGAGTTGCTTTTAGTAAATGAAAATTCAAACATCTCAGACTATGAAAAGCATCCCAGACCATAACTTTCCCCAACCATGAAAAAACAATTAAAGCTAGTAATGATTAGTTCTCTTTGTTCATTTTTGTCAGTTACATCTTGTAATTCTTTCAAACGCTGGGCATGTCTACACACATGATAACACATTAATAAAAGTGCAGCGATCAAATTATAAAATTTATTTTAGATATGATGGCGGAAAATCGGGTCTAATGTATTAAATCGATTAGGACAATATCTTTATAAAAAAAACAAGAAAATTACATTCGATCGTGGCCGAATCTTTGAGACCCATCGTTGTCCCAAATAAAAACAAAAACAAGAAAAGAAGACTTTCATAATATGAAGTGGGTGCAGTTGGTTTTTTTTATTTTCAACATAAAAGTCTTTGTCCCATAGACGTGTGGGCGTATCCTGTGAAAAGCTTAGATCCCTCCCGAATTTTTTGCCAAATTAGCAGGCGATATAATATATATATAGTAATTTGTTGACAACTGGGAGTAAAAGAAAAAGCGATTTGAATTTGTTTATTTTTACTGTTGGAAACTATTAATGTTCCCTTGCTTTTCATAGATATTTATATCGATGCTACTGATCGGTTTAATGAGATACATTAAACTGAGCATAACAACTAATACATTCTCAAGGCGGTAAATCATCAACTTGGACTGGCTGTGCCGTACAAGTGGGAGCGTCGGTTCTCTACTCATATTTGTTCTCATAAATTTCACGGGAAGTTTTACAATAACAAAAAACCATTAACCAATATATGTTTTTATTATAAGATTTTATTATACTTCTCCCAAATCATCAATCAATATTTGCTTTTATTATAACATTTTATTGTATAATTAAGAGTTTAAAAAGCATAAAACCCAATCTTTTAACAAAGCCGAATATATTTAAAAAAAGTTAAGAAAACGAAAACAAAACAATTGTAAATAAAAACCTTTTTTTAAATTATACTGGGAAATGAGCAGGCTGATCGAGCGGCAAAGTATGCTGCTTCTGCTCCTCTAATTATGGATGATGTCATGGAAAAGTTGGATCTTCAAAGATACATTGGAAGAAAAGTTAAAGAGAAAATTGCAGAAGGAAATTTACAATACCATCATCAAAACTACTCTTGCATTAACCATCAATTAACTCCACCTCTATATCCAACAAATGTTGAGAAAACCAAGATCCCAACATTTTCGAGAATTCGTCTTGGTCATACAGTTGCAACTCACCAATGGATCCTGAAGAAGTCTTCTCCCCCAATCTGCTGTTGTGGACAAACTCTTACTGTAAAGCACATTCTCTGCGACTGCCTCAACGTTTCCTTGGCTAGAAGTATTGCATTTGGAACGATTACCCCTTTGAACATTCTACAATCAGCTTCAGAACAGAATATCAATTCAATATTTTACTTTATTAATACTACGAAGCTTATTATCTAATATCCATTTATTTAAAACAGAGCCGATAGCCTGTGTTGCTAGTGCTCAATGTCTTTTTTTTAGTCTAAGAATTCAATTCATTAGTCTAAAATTAAAATAATAATAATACCTCCACGATTTAATTTTTTAACGACGCTTTGAATTAATTTAACTAAAATACGATTCAAAGCGATATTTCCCTGTTATAACTGTATATATATTATATAAACATTATAAATAGAAATTAAATCTTTAAACGAAATTTCACTTCGCTTGATATGAGAAACCGATATGATAAAGATTTATTTATTTAACTTTCGCATAGAGAATTAAGTGAATTGAACGTTCAGCACCGTTTGAATTAAAGTGAAATAAAAGTCCACATACGCTTTTGAATTGCATACGAAGCTGGAAATTATAAATCATTAAGTTGTACAAGGTTTTCTGAAAGAGAGAAGAAACCTAACTGAATTAATTTGCCAGAACAGAAGGCTCTCAGTCAATAATTTAACATATTATAGGTGAACATTTTGTAATCTTTCATTTTTTTCATTTAATTATCGATTCTATTTGAAGTCAAACTCGGAATTAGTAACATAGTTTCGCTTGATTGCAGGAAAATGATGAAAATTTGTTAATTTTCTTTTTACTTTCTAATAATTCTTGTACACAAACAGACGCCATTACATAGTTGTACTTGACGTGACTGCGCGAAACACTGCCTCCAAGGCATTCTACAAGTGATTTTTCTTATAAATTTGCGCGGAACACTTTCTCCCAATGATTTCTGACTCCTCTTTGCACATAGAAGGCTCTCAGTCAGCAATTTAACATATTTTAGATGAACATTTTGTAGATTCTGTCGATGTGGAAACAAGGAAAGATAAACAATATCTGACTTTGTATAAGCGTTATAAAGCTTAATAATCATCGCCGATTAAATTCCAACGATTGAACTTTTCTTCATCCACCCCGCAGTACTAGCTAGCAGTCGACGGTAGGTGGTGCTGACGCTTCACTTTCCAATGCTTTGGATTTAGTTCTCCCGCGTAATGTAAAAGGCAAATTGATATCCATTCTAAGACATGTAGTTCAATGGCAGAAATTTGTAGCTGCCATTAAAAAGCAACCAATAGGGCCAGTATTACCGGAAATAATGAAAAACGGCCTCCCCTTAATATCAGATAATTCACCGGCCTCTGCCGTTTCATTGTAGGAAGTGTCTTAATATTGTTGAAGATTGTTGTTACGCCATCAACGACAATACACTGTTTGTGCAGTATTACCTTGATAAGAGATGCTTATACTTCCTGAAACGGTGTCATAGGCGAAAACAGCTGAGCTTTGTTTTTTTTTGTTTTTGCGCACCCAAACGCTTTATTTTTATATCAAAGTAAACCCTACAAAGTACAATAGCTGTAGCAGAACCATATATCCGTCATAATCTTCATGGATTACCACCACAAATTTCTCGGCGAACGATTCGAATGTACTCTCGCACAGATTACTTGGCGTATCAGTGTTAATTACTTTCAAATCTTTCGCCATCTTTTCGATGAAGTCTTTTCTCGCCTTTAAGGTGTCCCCTTCTTTGAATCCGCATAATTCCTGCTCCTCAATTATTTTCCACATCACCTCCATGGCCTGCATATATCCAATTCGTATGCAATGACGATCCTTGCTCCAGCCGTTGCAGACGCCGCCTTTTGAGTGTTTATACATATCATTGCCATGAAGACTTCAAAAGAATTGAACGTTTTCTAGTTGTTATATGCTTAATGGCGGCTGATCAATTTGAACATGACGTATACATTCCTCCACACACAGGCGACTGATTGAGCCAAACAAAGCAGATTGGCATACGTGAAATATGTTAACACCCATCAACGGAGCGTAGAAGTGAATTCAATTTCAGTGATATAATTACAATTGTTGGCGTGAATATTATATCTGATGTGAATTTTCAAACTAAAGAAATTGAAAACACTTCCAAGAAAAACTGACCAATCTGAACTGCAGGTTCACATCGATGTAAAATTAAGATCGGCTA